TAAACACAGGTGTTACCAATGATGAAAGGCTCTGCTAACACCTGTGTTTACCCTACTATTTCATATAAAAATGGCTGCTGTAAAAAAGGTCTTTTGTTTCCGAGCATCTGGGACTCTCATCCATGAAGGTAATTTAAAGCACAGGTTAAGACAATGCAGACTAAACACTGACAAATACAAGAATTAACAACTGTACCTCGCTGTGAACTCCACAGTAAAATGGATATTATATACTTGTTAGACAGTTATGACCATTTCCTTGTCAAAACTAGATTTAAATGTGGCTGCAGCGTGTTATTTTAAACATCACGAGTCACTGTTGAGGCATTTATCAGACTTCTTTAACATCTACTCAGGCTCCATCAGAAACTAGGTGACGCCATTTGACAGAACAAATTAGCGCTGCATGAAAAATCAAAGTGACAGCACTTTTCCCGAGTGCACTAATTATAAATATAAACATCAACACATGGCTCATATGGCTCATTCAAAACTTTAAATCATATATGCAAATGAACTGTTAGAAGTTTATGTGCAGATCTCTCATTTTTCACTTTTTATGCTGACTCACTGAGTGAAACAGTAAACTATTCATCAAATTGTGATGTTGTTACATGACAATTCTTGTTGCAGCAAATGGAAATGTACTAGCTGACGTGTGTGTGTATGTGTGTGTGTGCAAGTGTTCATACGCGCATGAGAGTGTGTGTTTCTGTGTGTGTTTGTGCAGACCATCAGGCTAATCTGTGGTTTGTTTAGCCAGAGCTGAGGCCATGTTGGTGATGTAGCGGAGGGGCTGTTTGAAGAGCAGGGTCTTCACTCCTGCCGCTTAAACAGCAAGCTTTCATTTGAGGCTCCATCGAGTTGCATTTCATGAAAAATAAACACTTGCCTTAGCAGCTGTGGGTTTTGTGCCTGGGAGCGCGCTGTAGAGACAGAGTACCATTTCTTTGCTCGATTGGCTTTGCTCAGCAGTGCGGATTGTCTGTTGGACATTCAGCATCTTTACACAACTGCAGAAAATAGCAGCCAGTTTAGATTAAAACGCTTATTTCTCCCTCTTTGCTGCTTCCAGAGGGGATATTGTGGTTTAAAGTAGATTGAAGCAAAGTAAATGCTACGTGAAAAGTGGGACTTAGTAGATGAAAGGATTTAAATTATTTATTTTTTTCCTTTCTATGAACTAACAAAGGACCTAACTAATCGCAGAGGAAACAAAATGTTATTCTTCTCTTCTCGTAACAATATAGAAAATGTTTTGTCACATTGCTACCATGTATGGAAAAAACAAAAATACAGAAAACCTACTTTTATTTTGTCAAATTCCTCTGAAGAAAAATAAATACGCTGTCATTTTATCTGATTTACATTACACCCACTGACATATTATAATACAAAAAAACATACTTCTTGTAAGTTCATTTTAGGCCCTTTGAGAACGCTCCAGGGCTGACTGGCAGATGTCCACGGTTGTAGATGGAACGCAGTGCGTGTCCCTGGGGTCAGAAGTGCTCAGGGACCGTGGGACGATGGGTGTTTTGGATTAAGAGGAGGGGGCACGAGGTCATGAGGGCTTTCTGGCCCTGCGAGGTGACAAGGGGGTGGAGTCCCGCTGTGAGCGCTTGATGTTCCCACTGTACAGAGAGGAGATGGAGGCGTGGGGGGCCTGCTGCTGTGGCAGGTCACGCCGAGGATACAGCGGGCCCCCCCTGAGCAGCAAGACATCCCGCACGGCGCTGCGGAAGGGCTTACTGACGAAACAGTAGAGGAAGAAGTTCACGGCCGTGTTGAGCATGGCCAGCATGTTGGACAGGTCGTAGGCGAGGTGGACCCGCCAGTCTCTGTGAACTGAGGACACGTACAAGTGGTAGATGACCACTATAGTCCTGGGAGCCCACAGCACAGAGAACACCGAGGTGATGGCCAGCAGCATGGCTGTGGTCTTCCCAAGTCGCCAAGAAGGCACGGACTTCAGCCCACTCTCCTCCTGGCAAGGCTGCTGCCTCTGCCTCACCCTCAGCGTGTGGATTATCAACGAGTTCAGCACCAAGAAGATGCTGCAGGGCAGGAAGTAGATGATAGTTACGTGAGTCCATATGAGGACGGTGTCCAGAGCTGTGGGTGGGTGGCTGTTCCTCCACATGTCCGACCACCAGAAGAAGGGAACGCCCGATGCGAGCGACAACGCCAGGACCACCAAGATGATCTTCCTGGCCCGGGCTGGGTAGCTGATCTGGCGGTGGAGGAGGGGGTGGCACAGTGCTACATAGCGGTCCACAGTGAGGGGTACGGCAGACCAGATGGAGGCATGGTTGGCGGCGAACTCGGCGGCGCTGACAGAGTGCAGCAGGAGCGTCGGGACATCGCGGTGAAAAACTGCCGTCTCCAGCAGGAAGCCGACAAAGATGATGAAGAGCTGGGAGAGAATATCTGAGCCCGTCACCGCCAGTAGGTAGTAGTACAGAGCTTTCTTGGTGCGGGATGCCAGTCTGGACAAAGCCACTGCTGTGAGGATGTTCACTGACAGAAACAAAGCAAGACAGAAAGAAGAAACAGAGGAAAATTTCATTATATTATCTGCTTTTATGATATTTAACTTTAACTAGATTGTCTTTAGCTCAGCGATTAGCAACTGCAGTTTAGCTTGTGTTTTTAGGTTTTCACAGAAATGACATATTTTAACAGCATAATATTTTTTTATTGCGCAAGACAAAACAATAAAATCTGATTCTGGTTGTTTTAGCTGTGGAAGGCTGAAAGGGTTCAGTAATTCTATATTTTAAAGGCTGTGGTGCATTTGTGGGGAACAAATAGCATTCAGCAGCAGTTTCAGTTACAAACCATTGATTTCATTTGTCTCTTGCTTGCAGCTCATTTAATACAGTATCTGTTTTTATAATATCTTGTCAACAGCAGGATATTTTCACTGGAGCTATTTGGATAACATCAGTCTTAAGACCCCATCACGCATATAGCTGTTGACTCTGGCTCTCCGGCCTTTATATTTATTTCCCTTTGGGGACAATTACGTGATGCATCTGGACGCTGTGGTGACACATCCGCTTGTTTTGAACACCACTCTAAATCCCTGATGGATCAATACCAAATCACTGCCATTGACTTGTAGACGCAGAACAGTAATGAGAACAATGCCGAGTTGAACGCTGTCCGTCAACGTTGACAGCTGGCTGGAGGCATCAATGGATGGATAATAAACTCAAACAAACTGATTATTAGATTATTACAACTTGTGAAAAGAGCCATCAGTGCTTGGTTTTGTGCTACAACAATGAACTCCCTCACTGGTCCATTAGATGAATGTAATGCTCCCCTAACTCACTTGTGTATTGATTTCTCCTGTCTTGTGCAGTTCCCACTTCTGTTATAAAGAAATACCAATGCAGTGATTCAAACTGTGCCTTTACACACTGACTGTGGTTTAATGCAAATGCAACTAATAAAATCAGTTAATATTCAGACCTTAAAATGTCAGCTCACCTATAATATTTTTTTTTTTCAGGAAAAAGACATTGCTGTTGAGTTTTTGATATATATATTTTTGTACAAGGATGGAACTGCCAGAGTGGAAACCACTCAGTAGAAAGAGACAGTACTTTTTCCACAATTCTGCACACAGTTGTCATTATATGACATCTTGACAGTGTACCTGGTACTCCCACGCAGAGCAGGATGCTGTAGTAGATGACAGGGATGAACCCCAGGACACACTTGGATTTCTGCACCTCCTCAGGTTTCAGGCCCAGCTCCTGGTGGCCGGACGCTGTCACATTGGGCGAGTCGATCATGACCTTGGAAATTCCCCTGGAAAATAAGAGACAGAGGAATGTTTTTAGGTCTCCGAGTTAGTGTTTAAGTTTAGAAACCAAGGGACAAAGGGGGAAATGGATGATTTTGTTAGACTTCAAGGATAAGTCAGGATACATTTTTCTTGTCAACAAGTACCATGAAAAGACCAAAACACAACAATGAAATGTGTATCAGAGCCTGATATATCTTCTTTCTCTGTGCCATAGAGCTCCATTGTTGTCCAAAAAAAACCACATCGGTGAGCTACACTGTCGCACTGGGTGACATGATCCTTCATTACCATAAACACACACACTGTACACCATCATGCTGCTCCAAATACTCACTAGAGCAGCAAATGTAGATCTGCTTCTGAAAATAGTCCCCAACGAATGCATTTCTTCCTGTTTGACTAACCTTTGCTTTAAACTACAGTGAACCACTGTTTTAGGTAATTACTGAGCCTTTTGAGGAAATTAACCTCTTTATTTGTGAGCTGTTTTTAAAAATTTACGTCTTCAGTTTGAAAAAATTAGCTCAATGCCAGAGACAGAGTAGGGTTGTAAAGTGTTGGAAAGTATTAAAAGATAGACACATTGTTGGATTTGTTCTGTCATACTATAATAGATGTGAGTTGAGGTGGAATTAAGGGTTAGGTTTTTTTAATTTCAAGCCAAAAAACTGTGTTAAACAAATCTTGTAATTTAACTGCGTAAAAACATAATTTTGCAGCTGAAACTAATGAAATCCTTTTAGATGGGTTATGTTTCAACAACAATAAAACCCAGAGGTATTTAATTTATTACAGTGAAAGACAAGGAAAATAAGCAAATTCTCACATTTGAGAAGCTGCAATCAGAGAATGTTTCACATTTTTGCTGAAAAATTTTTGTTGATTGATTAATTGACTAATTACAGCTCTAATTTTGCAGTTCCATAAAGGAGGTCAACTTGAATGTCCAATGAAATCTCTGAGATAGAGCAGGTCTTTAAATTAGGCTTCATTTACATACATGAAATAAAAAACAAGTTCAGGATATTTATTTAAGATAGACAATCAGTGACAGAGGACAGAGCTGACTAATATGAAATGTATCAATATATAAAGATCCATTCTGTATATGCTGTCAGTCGGACATGATATCAAGTATCAAAAACTCATTATTATGCAGATGATCAGCAGCTTTAAGTTGCTGCCATAGACTGTATAAATAAATATGGATGTGGTCTCTGTGACGTCACCCATAGGTTTCAGAGGCGTCAGTCTCTGGCCGTCACCACCTCGGAATGGCTTATCCAAAAAATAGGTAGACGTAGGTGAGGTGGCCATGCCCTCAATTATACATAACTTTAAGCCTTAATATAATTTAAACAGGTGAGTTATATAAAAATTCACCCCTCTTGTACAGTTGTCATAAACGGGGAAATTAGATACAAAGGCCAGGCTGTACCAGGCTTTAATCATGTTTATGTCTGCTCTAAAGTTGGGCATTTTAATATGGGGCTTTATGAAGACTGACTTGCTTTTGTAGCCAGCCTCCAGTGGTCGTTAGAGGAACTGCACTGTTCCTTCCATGTTGTCTTCATTTGGCCAGAGAGGTTGTGGCTTGGATTCTGCATCTTGCAGTTTGCCATGATTGAGGTAACATCCGAGCTGTTGGTTGTTTTTCGGAGATAAACTGTGGAAACAAAACTGTTTTTGGACTCAGTCAATTAAACTGCAAGTCCACAACAACAGATGGGCTGACAGTGACGACCCCGTCACCCTCCACCCTCCCCTGAGTCATTATCATCCCGTCTCCCGATCTAACCTTTTCACCTGGGAGTCATCCATCCTGTTTTTCACCGTCTGCCTCTCTGCTGCCTGCTCTCCTAATTTACTTCACTCATCCATGAAACCATATTTGGACTGTGTTATCTCTCAAGCTTTCAATGACAAACCATTTGTGGATGCTTAACCAACATAAACATCATCATGGAGCCACAATCACCCGATCAGAGAAACTGGCCTCATGATGTAAGCGGGGCAATCACTACTTCTAACAGTTGGTCATATTTAGTCACTGCCATTGTAAAGACTACTTAAGTGCCAAAACTGTGCATGTGCAATATATGACTGGCACATTTTATGGCCTGTAGCAGGAATGTGATCATAAAATTGGACGGTATCGAATATCTTAGTGCTTGGCTGCTTTAATTCACCTTAGCGCTATAAACTAGCAGGAAAGCATGCATTTGAAAAACAATCATGAGGATCAATGATGTAATTCAGTATGTAGCAGAAAGGGGGCTAGTCAGTGTGATAGAAACCTTTCTCAGGCTGGTATCAGATTTTCATTCAAAAGGGTTTCTGGCCTCAGAAACTGTATCATATACTTTGTATTTTGTAAATTATTGCGGGGGAGTCAGGTGAGATCATGAAGGATGATGGATTGTGGTCGCCTCGTGTCAGAGCTGGCAGATCTGTCACAGGAGACGACTGCATGTCAACTTCCCACAACTTCTAAAATTGGCTCTTTGACTGGTGTCGTCAGTCAAAGGTCTTTGAATGCTCTGTTACCTGGTAAAAGATCTGAAAATGTCGTCACTCGTCCGCTCTTTCAATCCAATCTGAATGATGGATTTAAATTGTTTTATCTGATATTTATGTTATTGCGCTACCGTGTGTACATTTGTATTCTGAAAATAAAATAAAAAGTCAATTTACCAGCTGTTCTGGAGCTTTTGGTCGTGATTTTCATCACATGAAGTAATTGTACATGTTCAAATTTCTATTTTTCTGAGGACATTAAGAACTTGAGAGGTTTTGAAAGTTAATTCTTGGCCGTGGAAACAGCAATACAACTCAACTCAGTCGACCTACACTGTAACACACTGTAAAACCTGATGAGTTAGATCAATTCAAACTGTTTGAGGAAACCAATATAATACAATATTTTATTTGAGGAGAAATAACTCAAGTATATATTGTTAAGGTAACTTGGGAAAATTAAGTTAATGTTACCAATTCCATTCAATTAATTAAAATTACTCTCATATGCAGCATTTCTCCAAACTTAATTAAAATGTGTAAAAAGAATTTATCTGAATAAAGTAACTTAAATGCATCTTCTATATACAAACGTTACCACCAAGTTGAATTTACTAAGAAATCTTCCACTAAAACAAATTATTACATTACCTGTCAAACAGCTGAAGTACGATAAAAACAATTTATCATTAATTAAATAACAAAAGTTTCTGTGATTTTTTCTGTGACTAACATCAAATCTTTACACTTTGGGCGATCATTAAGAATTATTTGGATGCATAATTGGGCTTATGATGATTCATTTAAAAAAATCAAAATATTGAAAAATTTAAAAATTCTAAGCTATACAGCTTTATAATGTTTACATGTTTGTAAAGATATAAAGTCAACTTAAATAAAAATGAGTCAATAGAACAAATTAAATTTTATCACCAATACACTGTAAGACCAGATAAGTTAATCTTACTTAAAATTACTTAAACTTCTTAATCAAGATTTTTTTTAACTTACAAAATGTTTTACTTAAAAATCTCTAATGATCTGTTTTTGCAGTGTACTTAAACTACTGTACACATTTAAGTTCACTCAAAACAAGTGAGTTGGGTTTAATTGATGTGAACGAGTGACTCCAGTTATTTTGTAGGATTCATTTATGTTAACTTTTATTAAGATATGTTATTAGGTTTTACAGCGATGAGGCCGCTTTAGACAGACAGCGTGGATATTACAACACACCTTTCCAGCCTGACTTTAATCTAGTGAGTGTTTATGTCGCTCTGCACTTTTACTGTTATTTATATTCTTAGGTATGAGAAGAAGAGCTTATGTGTTCTAGTCTAACAAATGCCTTCACGCTGTATGCTGCCATTAGCATTTAAGTGTAACAGGTCAGGACAAAATATCATCGTTTAATAGCTGTCCTGTCTCTGAATTAATGTGTAGAGCTGATGTGCATTTCACTCAGCTCTGATAAGAAGTTTTTATCACTCGCAGCGATTTGGCACAAAGACTTCAATCCATAAATTAAGAAACATGAGTGCAGCATGGTCTGATTTAAATGCATTTTGGTTGCTTTGTTTATCAATAAAACCTCCTCTTATTTCAGTCCTTGTTATGTAACGGCATCCCACGTGCTGAGATAGGATGTCCCATTCAGTATTAATAGGCTTCCAGAGGAGGTGCAGACATACATACATCCCTTCAGTTTGACCTCAGAGAAGAACACACCTCTTTCCCTTTACACTATGTGTGTTTATGCACAAGTGCTGCAGTGGAGTCCCTGAGACTCCATGTCATCAAATACGAGTCCGCAGCCTGATGTGTATCAATTTGGGAGTCCTTGGTACCAAAAAGGTTGGGAGCCACTCATATAAAGGGAAGTTAATATAAAAGCACAGTCCAAAGTTGACTAAAACCACATTTGAACACCCCCACTGCACACTCTAGAAACAGGCTTAAATGGCTTCTGCAGACCTGCAAAGGTTACATTACTGCCTGTCTGTCAGACACCTGATCTGCTTCCTCACGAGCCTCATCCCAGGACGAGCAGTGAGAAAGATGATCATTATAAATGAAAAGGTTGTGAGGTTGCCAGCAAAACATGGCACCAGGGAACAGTAATTACACTGACCAATCAATATCTCTGCAGCCGCTGCTATTACCCTGGCCGGGGTCCTCTTTAATCTCGAAGGCAGCAAATGAAACCTTGAAGCTCTCTGCCTTCTCTTAATGCTCTTTATCACACTTCGCCACGCTCAGTCCCTCAGGTGCTACAGATGCTGGGTGTGAATGGAGCTGTTCTCACTTCAGATGTATTTCATTAAATCCATTCTCACACTGTTACAGTCATCTGACACAAGGGAAATTAGATATATCGACGTGACAACAGCAGAGCCTGCTTGCACTGCTCCTGTCGAGACAATCCTCTGAAGAATCCCCCTACAAAAAAAGCGACTGAGATCAGAGGCCGAGGCATGTTTC